TTCAGCATTGTTAAGAAATTCAAGAAACGGAACACACATAGATAGACACAAAAAGGCAGAGAGAAAGAGAGAGAGAGAGAGGGAGAAAGGAGGGAGAGAGATAGAGAGACACAAATAGAGAGAGACCGAGGAGAAAGAAAAGATGAATGCAAAGAACAAAGAAAGAAAAACATCATTCAAGTCAAGAAGATCGTGCAAAATGAGGAAGGCACAATAAGCACGAAGTACAACCCATCTCCATTTTATTAAAAGAAAACAATATAATATTTATTTGCTCTCTCTCTCTCTCTCTCTCTCTCTCTATATATATATATATATATATATATATGCTCTTGTTGTCCCTCTGTTCGTCTCTCTCTCTCTCTTTCTCTCTCTCTCTCTCTCTCTCACATTGAAATCGACTTTGTCGCTGCCGATGGTAGTCAAGATGGATGGCAGCATCAACAAACCTCCACGTGTTCATATCCGTATGCAACTCCTCAGCCGCTTGCGCGATATCTTGCAACTTGTGAGAGCTATCAAGATAGGAGAGATGCGCATGCACTTTTTGGGGACCAACGGATGCAAGAGACTCATAGACAGCAATATCAAAAGTAGAAGGAGTGACTTCTGGCAAACCTCCTGTACGGACATGCAGTTGTGCAGCTGGTGAGACAGTAGTGGGGACAACTCAAGGAGCAGGAGATGGAGTAAACATAACGGCAGGCGACGCAGAAACAACTGTAGAAGCAGTGATGATGGGCGTTCCCACATTGGACGACGAAGCATAATCTGCAAGTCGTTGACCATTCGTAGGAGACAATGCCGGTAATGATAATGGACGGACAGTGACCGAAGGAGGAGCGAAAGAAGCAACACCGACAGGAATTCTTTTGATGAGACTTTGTATGCGAGCATATATGAAGAAGGGCTCCAGAATAGTCCCATCCGTCGCACAATAGGGAAAATCAAATGTCATTCTTGCAATGTCCTCATTGGAGAGCGCAATGTACTCATCGTCCAGAAGGAATTGGAACATCCACCTGGACTCCACATCCGAAATATTCAACGGATTGGAGGGCAGAGAGGATCCTCGTTCCAAGCGCATATTAGCAGTGTTGTCGACCCCCGGCCCCGGGACCCCGGCGGGGGTTCGGGGGTCGGCACCCGGGACCCCGGCCCCAATAAGGAGAAAAAAGAAAAAGAAAAAAAAATCAAAAAAAAAATCAAAAAAAATAATAAAAATAGTGGGGGGTGCGCACTACCGGCGTGCAGCCCCTGGCATTTTCTCTCTGGTGCAGAAAATGCCCCGGCATGGAGTCCCCCCCGGGGGCGCGGACCCCCCTTAGCGGGTGCGGGGTTGGCCCAGCGCGGGGGCGGGGACGGGCTGGCGGCCCGCGGTGCCGGGGTTGCGGAGCCGGTGGTGCGGTGGCGGGGGTGGGATGCGGGGCCGCGGGGCTGCGGGGGGCGGGGGTCGATGGGCAGCGGTGCTGTGGGTGCCG